GTATTCTGTTACATGTCTTTGGTGAAAATAACCCAAATTACGATGTATTTTTTAGTTTGTAGGAAAGTTATAGAGTTCACAAACTATGGGATATATCTGAATATTGATCAATCCTGAAGTACTGACGGCCAATCTAATTTCTTGAGGTCCAAGAATGTCAGGACAGTACAGATATCCCCCAAATGACCCCTTTTTGCAAAGTAGACAGTCCGATGTACTTCATAAGACGCATGGCGAGTTTTTTGAAGTTGTATTTTTTTTTTGTCATAATTTTTCGGAAAATGAAAAAATAAAAAAAAAAATTTTCACTATTTTTTTTTTTTACATACTGTCCCCAGTGCAGTACAGCATCATCATATAACTGGCATGGTGGTGATCAGGGACATTGACCAGTGACAGTATGAAAAAAAAAATATATTTTTTTTTTTTTTTTTATTTTTAATTTGTTATTACATTTTTTTTTCTTTTTTTTTAAGATTTTTGTTTCATATTTCACTATGTCCAAAGTAGTACAATGTTACCATAGTAACATTGTACTACTTTGGGGAAGTGATCAGTATTTTTTTTTTTACACAATTTGCTTATAGCAAAGAATTACTTTGCTATAAGCAAGCATTTACCTGAATGACATCGATTCATTCAGGGCTTTTTTTTTTTTTTTTTTTTGTGCTTAGCTGTGGTTTGGCCACAGCTAATCACATGACATGTGCATGTGATCGCTGTGACCATTCACAGCTAGACACTAGTATACAATGGATGGCATGAATGAAGCCATCCATTGTATACAACTGTCATGTGACCTGCTGTGATTGGTCACAGCAGGTCACATGGTACCGGCAACAGGGGCCGGTACTCAGATCTGTCATCGGCCGTGTCCGAGGTACATGGCCGGTGACAGATCACGCCGCTGCGCGGCTCTACAAACGCGAAAACTGCACCTGTGCGGGAGTATGCCATATGGCGTCCACCCGGAAATCTACAGCATTTTGCCAGCCGCCAAACGGCTATTGGTTAAAGAATTAAAGACTATTTCCGTGTAATTAAAATGGCCCAAAGACTGGGTCCATTCATCAAGTAAAATTTATAATACCTAAAATAGTAGGTAAACTTTCAAAGTTGTCTTGTGTTGGTTTTTCACTAGTAGATTTTTGAATGAACATTCGTACAAAAATTTTAATGAAAATCTCCATCCATTCGGTGACTTGACAAATGTTCAAAAAGTCCTTGAAAATTTAGTTTGCTTTTAATGTTACTTGATTTTAGGAATGAGTAGACTTTGACAAATGAAAACCTCATTCACTGTTAGAAAGTCATTCTCCGAGGAACGTTTTCCATCCTGCTCCTTTAAATTTTCTCATCACTGACTAACAATCAAAAAAAATCAAATCAACAATTTTGAACAAAAGTCTAGTAGCGTATAGGCAATTTTATACAAATGCTGACCATAGCCTGGCAACATTTTATTTCCTCTGCCCAGAACCTATATATATAACAGAGGTTTGAATGACTAAAACTGGATAATGTAAAATCTGGTGCAGCTCTGCATAGAAACCAATGAACTTCCAGGTATTTTTTGGCACAGCTTAACTGAAGTTAGAAGCCGATCGGCTATCATGCACAGCTGCACCAGATTTTGCACTCTCCAGTTTTAGTAAATCAACCCCTTTATACTGTATGTGTATATAAACATGAATAGTAGTATCTGTAAGAATAAAAGCAAGAATACAAACAAACAAAAATAACAATAATAGCATTGGGAAGAAATACTAAAGATAAGTACACCCTAGTCAATGCCAGACGAAATCTGGTACAAATGATTGTGGAAAAAAAGAGCCACATGCCTTGCACCTTAATATCAAGAGTACCTCATAACTAGAAAGATGTAAAACAATATAAAGTGCATAAGCCTAGTGTAATATGTTTATTGCTGTAATCAATGAAATATAGGAAATACACAGACATTTTGATCTAAAATCAGAGCATAAAGAACCAATCCAGCCTTTTTTTAGGGGTGCCCCCTAGACATGTTTGTGGAATTAGGAGGTATCAGTTCATGTTTGGTGTGCGTCAAAAAATGTCTGTCATTGCTATATGATGTTTTCAAGCGCACAGAAGCTATCCATCTAAGCATCATGTTCATAGAAGCCATCCATTTGAAGGATCTCCAGGAGTTGAGCAGCAAAGTACCTTACAATTCTCCCACCAAATACTGGAGCAGGGGCGGACTGACCATTTGGAAACTCGGGCACTGCCTGAGGGCCCGGGATCAGTAGGGGGCCCCATGAGATGCCCCTGGTACCTTTTTCATAGGCTTTTTTGAGTTTGGGCAAGGACACATGGGCCCCATGATCCCCCATTGCCCAGGGGCCCCACAAGTTGTCAGTCCACCCATGTACTGGAGATCAACAAAGTTTAGTTTCCACAAGTCGAGCTACAACAGAATCATAGAACAATTCATCACTGGCACTGGCATCCATGCAGGGACCTAGGTGTCATCCCACATGGAAGAAAAATATATTTGAAATATATTTAAAAAATATTCTTCCAAAATATATTTGCATATATTTGAAATACTACAATTTTGGCCGTATTCAATATAATTAAAAATATATTTAAACACACACACACATATATATATATATATATATATATATATATATATATATATAGGCTATACTGTTGCAATATGTCTGAACCCAGGGTGTCAGAGGTGTATGGAGACGTGCAAGGTCAGGGCAACAACTGGGGACAAGCATTTTCAAGCGGCCCGTGCGGTGTTAGAGTTACATTTATTATATAAAAAATAACATAAAGTAAAGGCAGATTACAGTGCTTCCATGTACAGAAAGCTGGGCTCTGCGGCGCGTACTTTTTGATGTTCCTCTTCATGAGTACCATCGTTACCGACAGATTAAACATTTTTTTTAATTCACACTTTGGCCTTATCCCCTCCTCTCCGATCTCATTTTTTTAAACATATCAGCCGTGACTCTCCTAGGGGTAGGGGTCTTATTTCTGATCTTTATCATCAATTTTTGATTTGTCTTTCTCTTACTCCCCCTTTGTATAGACGGAGATGGGAAGAGGATAGTGGCATCATTTTTTCAGATGAGGATTGGGATTCCATGGTGGATAACATATGTTAGTGCTCTAGATCTCTTTCTGTTCATGAGACGGTCCTTAAGGTTTTAACCAGATGGTATTACACCCCATCAAGACTACATGTATTGTTCCCACAAACGTCCCATTTATGTTTCCGGGGCTGGGCCTCACAGGTACTTTGGTTCATATATTCTGGGATTGCCCGACCATATCTTTGATTTGGCATAAGATATCTGAGGTCGCTACCTCACTGGCGGGTACCCCGGTACGATTGTCTATACAGACCTGTTTATTGGGGGCTCATATCCTGGGGATCTCTGATGCCACTATGAGATTGATACATATTTGTATTGCCACTTTGTGGGCTGTTGCCTTACATTGGAAGTCCGATACTGTTCCCTTGGCCTCTGTTTTACACAGAGTTGATGCTGTAATGCTCATGGAACATATTCAGTATACTTTACTGGATAAGATGCACTTATTTGACAAAAAATGGGAGTCATTATAGACATGACTAGTGCACCCGAGATAGGTTCATCCAGACCCCACTACACCACCATTACCCTTCCATACCAATCCCCTTTACTTACTATACTTACAGAAAACACAACACCAATTTTGGAGTAAAATGGCCAACACGGCCTTTTATTAACCAATCAAGTTTTAAACACATCAACCATTCCTTATAACAGAAAACATAAAGAGTTGTCGTTGGTCTTTGAAGGCACCCCCAAAACGATCCGAAATGCACCTGCGGACAACCATATTCCACTAGGCCTCCAGCCGCGACCAACCAGCTCGGAGACAACTATACCGTCCGCAGTGCAGCACCACCACCTTCCAGTTAAACCTCGGTTAACTGGAAAGTTCCCGGGCACACCATACCAACGATGGGTCCCACACCATTTTGTACCTCCAAGATAAGAACCGCCTCCAAAGATCAACCACCGCCCAGGAACCAAAATAACCCCCCCCCCCAGGAGGAACACAACATTCACCAAACAGGGAGGGCGGGAGGGAAGCTCTCTCTTCCACGTCCAGCTCCCAACTGACGCCCCTCCCCAGAACACCCCACCCTAAAGTGCAGGAGACCCCACCTACACTCTCCTCTACCAACCAGATCCCCCAGCTATCCTTTACCAACTCTAATACAATCATTAACCCTCACACACGTCTTCCTTCCCACTCTGGGCCTAGTCATGCCTGCCCTGCGCTAATTCTTTTCTTCTTTTATCGCTGCGGGCATTTCTTTTATTGCATGATTAACAACATTTTAATTGAAGGTTGACTGGTATATACTGTTGACAAACATATCATTCAGCCTACTTTATCGTCTACGTATTTCATGTACTTGCAATCTACTTTCTTCTATTTCTTCTCTTTCCTATTTTAATATGCCTTTCTGTATTGTACTTTTCAAAAGTGCCTTGTTTTTGCTGTAAATATCACTTGAAACTGTACTGTTGTCTACTTCTGCAAAATAAAATCGTTTGTAAACAAAAAAGAAAGCTGGGCTCAATAAACATTTATAATAATAGAAACATTAATTAGTTATGAAAGACTGAAACTTGACTAAGTAATTTCACAAAGCAGGTCATTTTACCCTCTACTTTGCATATCTTCTGGCTCCAGAGAGGGTAGACCAGTGCCCGGCCCTTGGTAGGACACATAATTATGAAACCAATATAGTTTGACCCAAGGTCCATCTATATACAAGGCCAAAGATACAAGAACAAACATGGTTCATATTGCTTAAAGGATAAGTTCACCTTTAAAAAAAATAATAAATGCACATTTTTTGGAGGTAAAAAAATGTGCATTTACTATTGTTTGTTTCTGGAGCTTCTAAATCATTGCACCAGTGATCAGCAGACCTCTGGTGCCATGCAGGTCTCCCCAGGGGCGGACTGACCATTTGGAAACTTGGGCACTGCCCGAGGGCCCGGGGTCAGTAGGGGGCCCCATGAGATGCCCCTAATACCTTTTTCATAGGCTTTTTTGAGTTTGGGCAAGGACACAGGGGCCCCATGATCCCCTATTGCCCGGGGGCCCCATGAGTTGTCAGTCCGCCCCTGGGTCTCCCTCTGACCTGTCACTGTATCCGCTTATTTGTACATCTCGTACAGGCAAGCAGATACTTACTGACAGGACAGCTCAGTAAACTACCACGGTGCTGTGGAGCACCGTTGGTAGTTCATTGTGAACTACAAACCAACAGCTGCAAAGACTGTTGGAACTTGTAGTTCTCCTATGCACAGAATACCATGAATGAGTGATGCGGCAAGGTGGGCGGAGCCCCACACAGCCGCACTTTTTAAAAAAATTGGGACAGCTAGCGAAGGGGAAGAAGATCACAATGTCACAATGGAGATTGTTGGGGTGTGGGGGGCCGGTCCGATCGTAACATGTTACCTCTTACACCCTGAATATGGGTGTAGCATGTAACATGTTACAAAAGGTGAACTTATCCTTTAATTTCAGTTTTAATAAACCCTATCAAGCTGGTTTGAGATGAACTGTTCAGAAAAGATAAAAGCAAAAGAATCTACATTAATTATACTAAAAGCTGGAAAAGGACAATGGCAACATACACCTTCTAGTAAAGGTTTGTCTTATGTAAGAAGAGAAAGTTATGCAACTATTAGTAACCATCCACCAATTTTACAACAATAGTTCATCAACTCCATTGGGCTGAATTGCCCACCATTTTTCATACAATTTGGAGACATCAGCCATAACACCACCCCATTTTTGTCCCTAAGTCCCCTTATCACATGGCAGAGATGGGAATTCAGGTGCTAAGATTTCACTACTAGAGCTATGTAAAAAAAAAATGGGATTTTTACCTACTTGGTAGCTGTCTGCCTTTGATTGAAACCCTTGTTTTTGGTACAGGTCAGGGAAATATTATTGTGATAGAGTGCAAAAGATAACACAGAATTTCAGACCTTCTCATGGTCCTTCGACATGGGTGAAAGGTGAAATCTGGTTGCTTCCCATCATCATTATTTGTGACCTGGCTTTAAAAGATGAGTCCACCTCAAAATGGGTCAACTTCATTGGGCTGAATTGCCCACCAATTTATGTCCAAGTTGGAGACACCAGCCATAACAGCACATCATTACTGTTCCTAGACCCCCCCCCCCCTTTATATGGCAAATAGGTGGAGATGGGAACTTAAGTGCAGAGATTTTATAATTGGCTTTCTGTATTACTGTAACGGCAAGTAAAGGGCAACAAAGAACTTCAGACCTACTCATAGGTGTAAAGACAGGTATCTTTGACTAGGTCTTTCATTTTTCCAGTTTTGTCGCCAGTATAAATAGTCTTTGCTTGACTGCCGAAGCTGGTTCAGAACAGGTCTCTCTTTAGATGTCTCCGCCAAGGCAGCTTGGGCAGGACGCCCAGATAAATAGAACTCGGGTATGTTTGCATGTGCCAGGTCAGCTGCCGCTTCTGCAACATCTCATTCTAATAGAGAACCTGGCTCCTCTTAGAACAACTTATATTATTGTATAGCTTTTGGCATAATTCATTGGAATGATGGAACAATGCTAAAATTAAGTCTGTGCTGCAGGAACAACAAGTCTGAGAAAGCTAAACACAACGATCAAAACAAGTCTTTCTTGGTAACGCTGAAATCCAGCCAAAAAATTTGAAAGGAGACCTGCCATAAGAGAAACGCTTAGCTTGCCATCCCTAAGCTCCATCTCACAGAAGGCCACTTGAGTGGCTTTCATATTGATCTTCTTCCTTCAATTCTTTCTGAGTCACCAACTTGACACAAGTATGAAGATTAGGAGTTCTCACTTCATCGGATGCATTGTTATTATTGATAGGTTCGGGAAGTATTTGGCAGTGACCAGAAAAGTCTGCTCCAATCTTTTTAGATTCTGCACCGGCAAAAAATACTTGCTACTAGGCTTGGGAAGATGAAACATTCCTTCTACTTCAATAAAGGCCTTGTCTGGTGGGTTTCTATAGAGTTGAAAGTGTTTTGTTATATCTGTTCCATAAGGGAAGAAAATGTCAGAAATTCAAAAGGTGTCCCATGCCCTGTGCACACTCCATGTGTTATTTCATGGAGCTTAATTAGCCCCCCTAGTTCCTGTCTTAGGTCGCAATCAAGAAGAAGGGTTAGCTGTACACCGGATGGTTGATGAATTATCAGAATAATTTATTGAATCCATAGGACATAAAAAGCACCAGAACAAGTACAGAACTGTTGACGCGTTTCACACGATCATGTGCTAATTCATTGGTTATGAATTAGCACATGATCGCGTGAAACGCATCAACAGTGTCTTTTATGTCATATGGATTCAATAAATTATTTTGATATTTCATCAACCACCAGGTGTGCTCCCATCTGGAAGAAAAATATATATGAAAATATATTTGAAAAATTTTCTTCCCAAATATATTGCCATATATTTGAAATACTACAATTTTGGCCATATTCAATATATTTCAATAAAATATAATATATATATATATATATATATATATATATATATATATACATATATACATATACATATATATACATATATATATATACATATATACACATATACACATACATATATACACACACATACACATATACTGCATGTTGAAATGTGTTTTTATTACAAAATATATGACAAATATTTAAAAAAAATACATTTCAAATATACTGTATGTCTTTAAAAATACAAATCTACATTTTTGGAATGCATTTACAAATATATGTAAAAATATATGTTACAGTGACTTTTTATATGCTAAAAAAATCTGAAGAACATATTTAAAAAAAAAATATATTTTTAAAATGTATTCTTTAGATTTTGTTAACATATAAAAAAGTTATTTCAACATATATTTTTACATATATTTGTAAATGCATTCCAAAAATGTAGATTTGTATTTTCAAAGACATACAGTATATTTGAAATGTATTTTTAAAAACATTTTTCATATATTTTGTAATAAAAACGCATTTCAACATACAGTATATATATATATATATATATATATATATATATATAATTATTATTATTATTTATTTATTGAAATATATTGAATATGGCCAAATTGTAGTAGTTCAAATATATGGCAATATATTTGGGAAAAATATTTTAAAATATATTTCAAATATTTTTTTCTTCCATGTGGGCGGCTAACCCTTCTTCTTGATTGCATTACGTGTGGTGGCGAGCCAGAGCCTGCACATGCCTTGGTTTGATGTGGATCGTTTACCTGAGCGGTAACTTCTTTGTTCTTTGGTTCCTGTCTTAGGTCTACAGACTTTTTAGTCTTTATGTTGTGAAAAACATGACAAGGGTTGAAACAGAAATAAATAATAAATTAATAAAGTTTGAATAGTTTAGCCAAAGACAACTGGGCAGGGCTGATACATATAAGTCTGTGTTGTCAAACCACAAGAAATTGGACATACATGTCCGTAAGATACTGAAAAATACTGACTCTTCCTATATGCATATATAGCCAGTGGTACCAGCAGCCAATAGAAATCAGCCTTATGCTTAAAAAGATCCTTTGTCCTGAGGTTTATGTGTGTCTGTGAGACTGTCAATGGTGGCACAATAGTAAGGAGTATTTTTGGGGGGTACATGGCCTGTGTATTTTGGGGGTATATGTGTGTCTGTGAGACTGTCAATGGTGGCACAGTAGTTAGTTAGGAGTATTTTGGGGGTACATGGCCTGCGGTATATGTGTGTCTGTGAGACTGTAAATGGTGGCACAGTAGATAAGGGTATTTTGGGGGTACATGGCTTGCGGTATATGTGTGTCTGTGAGACTGTCAATGGTGGCACAGTAGATAGGAGTATTTTGGGGGTACAAGGCCTGTGGTATATGTGTGTCCGTGAGAATGTCAATGGTGGCACAGTAGATGGGAGTATTTTGGGGGTACATGGCCTGCGGTATATGTGTGTCCGTGAGACTGTCAATGGTGGCACAGTAGATAGGAGTATTTTGGGGGTACATAGCCTGCAGTATATGTGTGTCCGTGAGACTGTCAATGGTGGCCCAATAGTAAGGAGTATTTTGGGGGTACATGGCCTGTGGTATATGTGTGTCTGTGAGACTGTCAATGGTGGAACAGTAGTAGGGAGTATTTTGGGGGTACATGGCCTGCGGTATATGTGTGTCTGTGAGATCCACCCATCAAGGTATTTTGATATTTGCACATTTCCTCCCAAACGCCAGCCCACTGCTCATGTCAGGAGGGCTATTAGGCTATGTACAAAACCATGCTGGCTCCTCCTACCATCCATGCTCTGCCTGCAATGCTTATAGAAGCACAGTGACTCAGTGATGACACCATTGGGAATTTAGGTAATTTGGGGCTTAAGCGTAGTGGTTTGATGAACTTCAGTCTAGTCGATGAAATACACTTCAGAGCTGTATGGCCACTGTTATTTAAAAGAAAAGTTCAGAAAAAAACACACAAAACGTTACTCTCCCAGGCATTTTCAGCATCCCAATGACAAAAAGAAATTTTCCAGCCTTCTGGCTATCTATACTGGCTATCCATACTGCATAGACCCCGAGCCTGTCCCGGTACAGACTCAACAGCAGGCCATAGGCAAGCAAAAAGCAAACAAATCTTCAATCTTTGAATCGTTCATGTTTTGCATCATTACTGTGCCAGTTCTGACATATGATTTTCATGTGCGTGATCCAATATGCTGGTTTTTTTTTTTAGAAAATCGAAACAATTGATGGCACAATCATGAGAGCTATTTTCATTGTTCAATGGACAGAACGTTTGTTTTTCAACTCGTCTATAGCCTGCTTTATTCAGCTTTGTAATCAACAAACTGCCCAAACTTGGCTGCACAGGCTCCTGCCTCCTAACACGTCTCAGGTGATGGCCTGGTCAGACCTCGTCTCCCTAAAACCACACTCTTCCAGTGTCTACATACTGTTAATGCAGAAGCCTGTCTGCAGGGGCAGAAGCCCTAGACCAGTGGT